CAATGATGACGAATAGGGGGCGGACCGAACAGCGCATATGTTCGCCATCCGTGGCGAACGTGAACAAGCGATGTTCACCGGGAACTATTCGCCAGCGAACCATTCGGGACATAACTAGTTCTTCTATCTCCTGTGCCTACTTTGAAAAATGTAGTTCCTTTTTGGAGTGGGTGGTTCAGGTGGAAGTGGGCACAAAATTCATAGTCCATTATTTTGATGACTTTCTTGTGTCGGGCCGGCAGGGTCGAATGTGTGCCGGTTGGGCTTGCAAACACTGGAATGGTTCACACAAGTTTTCGGTGTGCCATTGGCGGGGGATAAGACTGTGGGTCCCACGATCTGTTTATCCTTTTTGGGCCTGGAGATTGATTCGGTGCAGGGGGTGTGTCGCTTGCCGGAGGACAGGGTCGGTTATTTAAGAGGTTCCTGGCTGAGGGACGTGGCTTCGGACCGCATGGAAGAGGTCGCATAAACGGTGAGCTCCGCCACACCGTGGGCTTAACAGCGTGATATCCCAGCAAACCAGCCACCGAAAACGGCCCTACCAGGCACTAACATCACTCGGAACAAGATAACAACAAAAATATCAAAAAAAATGAAACAAAAAATGATCGAATCGCACCTGAATGTGCAGCAAGCAACTCCTATGCAAATCCAAGATGGCGCCAGAGACACCGGATCCCCCATACTGGAACCTGAGGTAGGAGACAGCCAAAACAGCTTTCAAAGCACAGATATGACACCTGCCACAGATGCATCAATAAGCACAATGCTAGAAAGGCTTAAAGCAGCCCTATGCTCTGATATACAAAAAATGGCATCTGATATAAGAACTGACATCCAGGCACTGGGGGACAGGACAGCACATTTGGAAGAAAAAACAGAGGGTCTATTAGAAGCGCACAATGACCTAGCAGAGGCGCATGTAGCGCTGGAAAATAAGGTCAAATACTTAGAGGGGAAGATTGCAGATAATGAGGACCGAGATAGAAGGAACAACATTAGGATCCGTGGAATATCTGAAAATGTGGGACCACAAGACCTCCCACATTATATACAGAAGCTGTTTAAATCTATGGTCCCAACGCTAACAGAAGCCGACCTCCGACTTGACAGAACGCACAGACTGCCCAAGCCACGATATCTGGCAGCTACCATTCTCCGAGATGTTATCACTAGAATCCACTACTTCTCGGCCAAAGACCAAATAATGCAGGCCTCCAGGCTGAATATACCCCTTCCGGACGGATACACAGACCTTAAATTGTTCATAGACCTATCAGCGGCCACCATGTTTAAACGAAGATCATTTGCACCTATAACAACGGCTCTCCGAAACGCAAATATATTGTATAAATGGGGATTCCCTACAAAACTAATCATCAAGAGAAATGGAATAGATCGAGCAATCCTGACACCGGAAGAAGGAAGGAAAATTCTGGGTGAATGGAACGTTCCTGTCCCAACAACTGACCCAAGAAGTTCGGACATGCCACCACCCCGTAAAGTGACGAGAGACTGGCAACACGTTCCATGGATCACGACAACCCCTCAAAGCCGAAGAAATCCTCATCCCTAAACCCTCTCCATCTGCGCACATGGACACGTAACTTTACTAATTAATCTGGTTTCATGTTTAACAGGTTGAATGTGTGTAAGAATGTGCTGATGTGCTGATGAGACACCAATTTCTGCCATCTCTGACGCAATAATGAAGAAAAAAAAAACAAAAACAAAAAAAGCCCACGGTGGGCGTTAGACCACTGCTAACTGTATAACTGCTGTTTTAGCTTTATACCTGCTTCCTTTTTATATGTTTATGTTTTTTTTTATTTTTTATTTTTCTTTTTCCTTTCTTCCTTTTTCTTTACCTCTTCTTTCCTCATCTCCGCCTTCTACACAAGGTGGACACTGGCTATCACAACTTACTTACTTAAAAACCACTAACCCCCACGTAAGGCTTACTAGGTAGGCCCCCACGTACCCGTCTGCAAATCTTTGCACTAAGCCTGAGAGGCTAACGGGCAATTGTACATAGTTTACTTTCCCCCCAATACCCCTCGATTGACCGTCAGGTCACCCTCCCACAGTTTAGGTAACATCCCAACAAACCTGTGCTTGTCCCACTCCACCAACTGAACTAGTTGGTGATTAAACCATAACACGTAGGGAAAACTGTACCATGCCGCTAAAATTTCTCTCGCTAAACACCAAAGGCTTAAATTCGCCTAACAAACGTAGATTGGCCCTCCAGGAGGCCAAGAAACAAGGAGCACAGGTGGCATTTTTTCAGGAAACCCACTTTCAGTGGGGATCCAAAGCCAGGTTCAACTCTGCTTGGTTCCCAGTAGACTACCATACGTGCTACCACAAAAAAAAAAGAGGTGTATCGATATTAATAAATAAGAATGTTGTTTTTGAACTTGTACGAAAAATAAGTGACAAAAAGGGTAGATACCTTATCTTACAATGTCGTATGAACAATCAACCGTATACATTGATAAATGTCTATTGCCCTAATGAAAACCAACAAGTATTTATAGCTAACATGTTCTCTCTCCTGTCAATGTACAGTTTTGGGGAGGTAATCCTTGGAGGCGACACTAATTTTCTCCTAGACATCAATATGGACTCCTCAGCCGCGAGAACGGTAACCATATCCACTTCAAAACAGAGACACACACAAACATCCAACATCCGCAGAATACTAACGACACATAACTTTGTAGACCCATGGAGAATATCCCACCCAGCTGAAATTGATTACACATGCTACACCGCTGCACACAATAGCTACTCCAGAATTGACAGATTTTTAATAAAGAACTCATCACTAGAGAGAATGATAAGTGCAGAAATTGGTATCATATCATGGTCAGACCATGCCCCCATCACTCTGACCATATCTGAACAATGCCCCTCCCCTGGCCAAACCGCCTGGAGACTAAACGAATCCCTACTCCAGGATCCAGTCATAGTATCCCAAATCAGGACAGACCTCCAAAACTACTTCACAGGAAATGTTCGCCCCGACACATCGCCAAATTCTGTATGGTTAGCACACAAAGCGGTGATCAGGGGCAGTTTTATAAAACACGCAAGTCAAGCCAAAAAAGTACGCCAAGCTCTATACCTAGGAATCATCCAAGAAATAACGGCATTAACACATAGAAACAAATGCTCACCATCAGCCACGACCAAAACAGCTCTCCTGCAAGCTCACACTAAATTACAAAACTTTGAACTGGCCAAAACCACATACCTGCTACAAAAATACAAACACAGGTACTTCGCCTATGGCAACAGAGCAGGAGCAAAACTAGCCTTACAGCTCAAACAAAGATCAGTCGCCTCCAGGATTGCCTTCCTAAACACAAATACTGGCCAGAAAGTTAGCGATCCGAACAAAATTGTAAACGAATTCTCCACATATTATCACAAACTGTATAACCTGAGTGAAGACGGAGGAACGAAAGTCCCTACGCTTGCAGATATTGACAATTTTTTAGCAACTGTTCACCTCCCATCCCTGTCATCAGATAAAATACAACAACTCAAACAACCGATATCCCATGAAGAAATATCTAAAGCCATAGCTGACTTACCATCACACAAATCCCCAGGACCAGATGGCCTACCAAATAGATATTATAAAGAATTCTCCAAACTACTACTCCCTCACCTCCTAAACCTATACCAACACAGTTTTGACACGGGAGCCTTACCAGAGGAACTACTGTTAGCTCACATCTCGACATTACCCAAACCAGGCAAACCACCCACCACCTGCAAAAACTTCAGACCAATCTCCCTTCTAAATGGGGATGCCAAATTATATGCGAAAATATTAAGTAACAGGCTCACGGCCATAATAAGCGAACTAATACACAACGATCAATCAGGGTTCGTCAAGGGGAGACAGGGCTCCGATAACACGCAAAAAATTCTTAACATACTAGCTACCATGGAGAGGGGGCGGTCGGAGGCCTCCTGCTGGCACTTGATGCGGAGAAGGCCTTTGACCGGCTCAATTGGGCCTATATGCAGAAAGTATTACAAAGATTCGGCTTCCCAGACGAATTTATCAAAGGGATTATGGCGCTATATGTGAAACCGGCGGCCAAGGTGGCCCATGGTGGCTTCCTCTCAGCCCCCTGCTATATATCCAATGGGACATGACAGGGATGCCCCCTATCCCCCCTACTATATATACTATCCCTCGAACCGCTAGCACAAAAAATAAGAAATGACGAACGCATACAAGGCGTCAAAATCTTAGGCAAGGAATATAAACTAGCGCTATTTGCAGACGATATCTTAATCACACTAGAAAACCCTCAAACATCAGTGCCCCACCTGTTGGAGACCTTAGAAGGATTCGGGGACGTATCACACTACCGTCTAAACCAAGACAAAACGCAAGCATTACCCATCAAACTCCCCTCCTCCACCACAGCTGTGCTCAAAGACAAATACCTCTTTGATTGGAGGACAACCTCACTCACTTACCTTGGCATAAAAATTGCACCTACCATAGCAGAAGTATTAAAAGTAAATTATCTCACACTCCCACAACAATGCAAGAATGAAACACACAAATGGTCGCAAACACACATCTCCTGGTTAGGCAGAATAAATGCGTATAAAATGGTGATACTCCCAAAAATACTGTATATATTCAGAATGCTCCCTCTACAAGCACCAAAAACACTTATAAGAACACTACAATCCATATGTAATGCGTTCATATGGGAACACAAAAAGCAACACGTCACAAGTGCGATACTATACCAACACTCAAAACATGGTGGAGTGGGGCTACCCAACATAGATCTGTACTATAAGGCATCTGCCTTAGCAACAGGGATACTGCTCCACACTACTGAGGGGATCATACAATGGGTGGACATGGAAAGAGCCCAGTTCAGCAACAACTTGGCACTAGCACACTTGTGGACACCAAGAAAATTAAGGTTGTTAAGATCTGATCTATTACCCACAACAAAATATACTATCCAAATATGGACAACATTTCTAGAAAAGGTAGGGGACAAAAATAAATTCCAGGCAGAGGCACCATTGATGGCCTTAAAGTCTATCACGACAGACATACGCTTACACAAGTGGTCGTTGGCAGGAATAACACACATACACCAATTACTTAAATCCCAAAAAATGATGACATTCCCCGACATACAACACAAATGGAAACTTCCCAATGACGCGTTCTTTACATACCTACAACTTAAGGGACTCATTACCACACATGTAAGCAACCAACATTCAAACCATGCTCAAATATCCCTACCAACAAAGGCAATCATAGAAAGGTGCTGGAAACACCCCACAAAACCAAAAACCATTTCCCTATGCTATAAAGCGTGGGAAGACACTATACCTAAGATATCACCATGCTGCAAAATTCAGTGGGAACTAGACTGTGCCATCCAACTCACAGACGAAGACTGGCTACATGTACTAAACGACCTATTTAAATGGACAAAATGCTACACACACATAGAAGCACACAGAAAACTCATGTACAGATGGTACCTAACTCCACACAAACTCCACAAAATATACCCAAACACGACTCCTCTATGTTGGAGATGCTCCGCAGAGGAGGGCACACTTATACATATCTGGTGGGAGTGCCCCAACATCCAGCCCCTATGGACAGAGGTACACAATACGATCAGAGCACTCCAAATCCCAGATACCCAAAAGACACCCGACACATATTTACTCTTGAGATTCCCTCCGACACTCCGAAACTCGCACAAACAGCTGTGTGCCATTATCGCTCTAGCAGCTCGCAGCCTACTGGCCCTCCACTGGAAATCCACAACTTGCCCAAACAAAACCCAACTACGGGACAAAATACACCAATTCTACATCTACGAAAAAATGGCCGCTCCTGACACCAAAACGGCACAGAGGTTTAGCACAACATGGTCACCATGGATAGAACTATACAACCGGCATAGGTAAGGTGGAACTGCAAGGTCAGGGACATCCTCTATCACCCTATAACTGCCACCAGTAACCATATGTGTAACCTACGATAGAGCATAGGGAAGCATACCAGTACCCACCACCAGGTGAACACGGGCCGACCATATGTCGGGCTGGCAATATGAGCAATGATTGTATAACCGACTATACAGGCCGCTCTATGTTACCTAACTGTACATGCCCCCAACCGTACCCCAACGTTAATGTTATACCTGTTATTTGTACTGCCTTGATATACTACTCTCAATTGTATCACTGGTTCAAACTGTATCATTGATGACGAAATTTCAATAAAAAATATATTGGAAAAAGAGGTTCCTGGCTAGGGCTATGAGTGCCGTTTCATTCCCTCACCATTTTGTGCAGGTCTCGGCTTCCATGAATATATCATTAAAGCTGTGATATTAATTTTCTAATACAAGGTGTCTGAGTATGTTTGGTGGGCATGGGGTAAATTAAGCTTATGCCAAAAAGAGGACTATGCATATGCAGGAGTTTCGCCTAAGGCCTCACAAAGTCTATACACTGTTCCAAATTATTATGCAAATTATATTTTTCTCATTTACCTAAATGATTGATGTAAATAACAGTCAGCATAATTCTCATGTTATCAACTATTAAGAGCACAATTCAAATTTTATTGAACAAACCTTCTAATGATAACAGTATTTAAAAAAAAACTTAGAATGCACTGTTCCAAATTATTATGCACAGTATGTTTCAAAACACTTTATAGGTTGTAAAGAACTGACAATTGTCATTTGTTGTGTTTGCAGCATATTTACTGAAATCAAAAGCTATTTCAATCAAACTTATAACAACATTTTAACTTTTTAAACATTTTAACAGGTCACGTTACATTTTAACATAGGACCCCTTATTTGATAGCAGCTTCACAAGTCTTGCATCCATTGAACTTGTGAGTTTTTGGACAGTTTCTGCTTGAATTTGTTTGCAAGATGTCAGAATAGCCTCCTAGAGCTGCTGTTTGAATGTAAACTGCCTCCCACCCTCATAGATCTTTTGCTTGAGGATGCTCCAAAGGTTCTCAGTAGGATTGAGGTCAGGGGAGAATGGAGGCCACACCATGACTTTCTCTCCTTTTATCCACATAGCAGCCATTGATGCAAAGGGTATTCTTTGCAGCATGAGATGGTGCATTGTCGTGCATGAAGATTAGTTTATTACGGAAAGCATAGTTCTTCCTTCTGTACCAGGGAAGAAAGTGGTCAGTCAGAAACTACACATACTTTGCAGATGTCATCTGTACACCTTCCGGGACCCTAAAGGGGCTGACCAGCTCTCTTCCCATGATTCCGGCCCAAAACATGACTCCACCACCGCCTTGCTGACGTCTCAGCCTTGTTGGAACAGGGTGGCCGTCCACCAACCATCCACTACTCCATCCATCTGAACCATCCAGGGTTGCACGGCACTCATCAGTGAACAGGACTCTTTGAAAATTAGTCTTCATGTATTTTTCTGCCCAATGCAGCCGTTTCTGCTTGTGAGCATTGGTTAGCGGTGGCCGAATAGAAGGTTTATGCACAGTTGCAAGACTCTGGAGGACTCTACACCTTGATGTCCATGGGACTCCAGAGGCACCAGCAGCTTCAAATATCTGTTTGCTGCTATGAAATGGTATTTTAGCAGCTGCTGTCTTGATCCGATGCATGGATCTGGCAGAAATCTTCCTCAATGTGCCTTTATCTGCACAAACCCGTCTGTGCTCTGAATCAGCCACAAATCTCTTAATAGTGCAATGATCACGCTTAAGTTTTCGTGAAATATCTAATGTTTTCATACCTCGTCCAAGGCATTGAACTATTTCACTCTTTTCGGCAGCAGAGAGATCCTTTTTCTTCCCCATATTGCATGAAAATGGTGCTCTGCTTAATAATGTGGAACACTCTCCTTTAGTAGTTTTTCCTTAAATTGGGCTCACCTGGCAATCTAATTATCACAGGTGTCCAAGATTGTTTTCAGTGATCAAAAGAGCCCTGGGACACAATGCCATCCATGAGTTAAACTGAAAAACAAAATATTTAATCTTTGTGACACTTAAATAGAATTTGCATCATAATTTGTAACAGGGTGAATAGCCACCATGACACAGTGGTAGCAATGAAATAGTGTCAAATTTAGGCCAAGGACATTTCAGAAAACCCACTCAGCCTCCACTAGCAATGCCACTATTTGTTTGAACTTGATACATTCCCTTAAATCCGGGTTGATTAAAGGAAAATTTAGCATAACAAAGCAACCCAAAGTAACTTCAAAGGGCATTTGTACAGGGCCACTCTGGATGTAAACAATGCTGTTAAAGTTGATGTTGAGCCTCTGCTTCTGAAGCATTTGTATGAATTCAAAAATGTCACTGTGCAAAGACATATGCAGTTAGTTGCTTGTATTTCCCAAGTTTTTCTACCTGGATTTTCTGTAAAGATTACACTTTGTTTTGAAGATATTACTATGCCTTGTCTTGATCCAGTTATGCTACATATTCTTTCCAGTTTATTCTAGTCCTGATTCAGTTGTCCGCTATTACAACTTAAACTTGACCCCTCTCCCATTTTAGCTTTCCCATGTATAGACTTTGGTCCTTACTGGACTAGTCTTCTACTGAGGTTCTAATTATCACTCTATCACTCCAGTCTAGCCTGTCCGCTGCTATACTATATATGATAGCTGCTAAGGGTCATTGTCCATTGGTATATCTATGGCAGTACAGGTAACCAAGCCCTTAGGTAAATTCCCTCAAGTTCTCAGATGAACTTGATTACAGAATAACCTGATTACTTATACTCCTCATGCATTTCAAAGCCACTCAAAATCTGTAACTCGAGTTAAATGTTGTATACATTTATTGCATGTATACATGCAAAACCTAATACCTAACATGCTATAGCAACTATGCAGATGAATATAATGACAGATATAAGGTTACAAATGATTAAGCCATCTTTGCATCACCATTCACAACCTGCATGCAAGCTCCTCTTTACATCACCAGCTGCAACTTGTCTGATTAGCCCTTCTTGGATATTTAGAATTGTAAAGATACCATGTAAGCTTAGTAAGTCAATTAACCTGTCAGTCTATGCGAAGCACTTTTGTTTCTGCATATTTTGTCTTTCCTTTTTAGGAAGTTCTATGCAAACTGTTAACAGTGAGCTATTGATGACACTTTCAGACAGTAATTATGTAATAATTCTAATATTATTTTCCAGTTAGCAAAGCTAGACAAGACAAGGCATGTAACAAGATCATCAATTGTAAATTAAAAGGACACTATATAACATTTAGAACATAATGTAGTGTTTCAAAGAGTCAAATTCACAACATGTAATTTTAATTTTAAATGATAAAGTGTAATTTTAATTCTAAATGATACAGTGCAAATGAGCAGTAAACAGCAAACTATACACAAATATAATTGTTTGTGTGTAAGTGGCAATCTCAAAATCCCCTATAACGTGCCAATGTAAAAAAAAAAAAGGATAATTTTGTGTTAATAAGTGCAAATCACAGCAAACTTTCATAAAAGATTATTTGCCTGTAGGTGCTTATATTATATTAAATGTCATCTTCAAAGTGCTGTTGCAAAAACGATAAATAAAAGTACTGTATTGAATATTACTTACAGCAATGAAATTTCCACAGAAATTAGAACCTCATAAATATAGATAATATACAATAGTGCAAATTGTATGATACATATGTATATTAATAACACAAAAAAACTTACATAGAATAGAGCACTTTGGCTCTATTCAATCGCCTTTTAGCCTTTTGCAGGAGACTCCTGCCCTCTCTCGCAAAAGGCTCCAAAGCAATTAAATAGAGCCAGATTGTATGGTCTATAACCGGCATAGGCAACATTTGGCACTCCAGATGTTTTGGACTACACCTCCCATGATGCTTTGTCAGCATTATGGGGGATGTAGTGCACAACATATGGAGTGCCGAAGGTTGTCTACCCCTGGTCTAGTATATGGTATATGAGTTTAAAACACGTATGGGTGTTTTTTTGGTGTTATTATTATACCCAGAACAGGCATTTATAAGTAGTGGTGCTGCTTTAAAGACCAAAATATATACAAAATACAGATAAAGGAACAGTGCTCACAAAAAAATAAAAATACAGTTTTACAATTTTACAAGGTTACTTGTAAACACCTATTTTA